ATTTCAGCAGACCTACTCTTCTTCATATTAGTTTGTTTATCAGATATATCACACAGTAAAACAGTATTATTTGCTGCATGACACAGTTTCGAACAAAATGTATTGTTCATAATCATATCAATTGTAATCACACAACTTTGACACTTGAGTTTTATAGTTTTCTTTGTTCTCTCCTATTTGTCGTCGTAAGGGTAGTAGAATTTTCCAGATATCTGGGTGGACAGGTGTTGAATCATTCCTATTACATGTATTTGTAGTTGATTCGATAAACAAAGCTTCTGTTATCAACCTATGCCTCCACCCTGCTGCTACGTTCGATTTTAAAACTCTCATCCTATCCCATCCTACTGTATGGTTTTGTGTATAATCCCATATAGCGCTACCTATGACTGAACTATTCTCTAGCTTTCTTATGTTATTCGGGTCAACTAATCTAAATTTTACTAGGTTTTTATGTTCAGCTAGTCTGACTGACTGCACCTGTTCTACTACTTTCACCCATGTATTTGACCTGACAATCATTGCAGCAGGGTATTTGATAAACGAAATTGTTTTGTTCTAAAGGCTCCACAGGATTGATCCTTTAACCGACAAAGCTTGTTTCTAATTGAGTTTGTGGTTGGTTTGAATGCCAGCCACTTTTATTACTGCTTGAATTGTTAAGAATTCCGCGTAAGGTTTCCAAGGTTCTCTCCTTGTATGGAATTACTACTGTTGATTTAGATTCCTTATTGTTGGTGTTGTTATTATCCTGTGCATGTTTGACATGCATGTCGTCATTAATATTACTATCATTATAATTATTATTATCACTATTATCATTATTTATTTTATTTTTACATTTCCCTACATACTTTCTGACTAATTTATCAGGGTAATTATTAAGTTTCATAGCTTCTCTTATATGCCTCACTTCCTGTCTTAGATTTTCCTTGGTACTACTCAGTTTTTGTGCTCTATAACAGATGCTTTGTTTATCGAATCAACTGCAAATACGTGTAATAGGAATGATTCAACACCTGTCCCATATATCTGGAAAATTCTACTACCCCAACAAAGATAAATAGGAGAGGACAAAGAAAACTATAAAACTCAGGTTTCGAAGTCGTGTGATTATAGTTGATATGATTATGAACAATAAATTTTGTTCGAAACGTCATCCAGTAAATAATAATACTGTTTCACTCACTGTGTGATACATCTAATAAACAAACTAATATGGAATTACTAACTACCACAGTGCCCAAGTTTTACACATATATTAACTACTCTTCTTCAGCTGAATACTCTACAACCTTATCAAAAGAACAAGCAAAAATTCCATCAAAATCCTGTTTTATTAATTAACCTTTTTGCTTGGTGTAAATTCGTATCAGGAAATAAATGTTACCAGTTCTGAATGAAGCGCCTCCCAGAAAGCAATATTACAATGCACTTAATGATTTAGTGAAATTGAAGTGTAGGATTGCTAAACACTCTGTTCAAAGAGATTATTTTTTTGAAAAAATGTCTTCAGACTAATATGTATCCCAGGACGGTTAAATTTTTGTAGATATTATATTATTTCCTTTATTCCTTGAGTTCTGAGGGGCTTCAGTGAACCATTTCCATATCAATCGGTTGTCTGACATCAACTTTAGCTGCTGCTACTACTACTGTAATGACAGAAGACAAAAGCCAGTCAACAGATCGTTTACAGGATTTCATCATGAGCTGACATGGGTTAGACAACCATTGGAAAGCCTGAGAGTACTGGACAGTTGTTTCGTCCTAGTTTGAGACTCTTCATCAGTACAGACCCACCCACCAGTGTCCGAACCCAGGACCTTCTGGTCACAAGGAGAGCTCGTAGACCATCAAGCCACTGGGACCTGATCCAGTGGCCCATGAATTCTAACTTCTGCCAATTCGCGACACATAGCGTGACCGCTAGTCTATGTCTTCGGCGAGTACTTATCCTCACACCCGACCTTGTGCACCCTACTGGTCACGCCGTCTCACTAGAACCCCAGGTAACTACCTACCTGAATAGGGCCAGTCGCCAGTAAGGATCTCATTGATATTCTATTACAGGTTTGTAGGGATTTGGGTTCGAACCCCGGTGTATGCGTACTGATGACGAGTCCTAAACTAGGACGAAACAGCTGTCCAGTACTCCTTAGTGATTTTCCAATGGTTCTCTAACCAATGTCAGCTCATGATGAAATCCTGTAACCAATCAACCAAATCCCTACAAACCAATACTTCAATATCCACAGATCGTTTATTGAGAAAATCAAAGGGTATTTTATAGATTTTTATCTGCATTATTATTAGCGTTATTGTTAGCAGAGAAGCAATGTTTTCTCATTGGTTGTTTTATTGCTGAGGGTTGTTCTATAATTATTATAATGATTAACACTTTATTCTACCTCTTATTATTATTCCTAATTTATTTAAAACTATCTTTTATAACCGATGTTAGCAAGTGGCCGAAACTGTAACCAATCAAATCCCTGCAAATTGATTTCTCTGACCACGTCTGTCTCTCCCTCCGTCTGACCAGCCTATTATATAACTTTTAAATAACTTGACCCTATTCCATACATAAGTGCGCTAGCTTAATCCTTATGCTTTGATAATTTAAATGACCCACAATCTAATTGTTTGACCTATGAATGATACAGTGACATATAATTATGAGCAATACGCAAGAGTACTTGAAGCGACATCCAGTCTCGTAACCTAAAGGGCCCAGGTGTGATCCTTGGTAGAGTAGTGGATGCGTATTGCTGGGAACAGTTAACCAGTGGAAGGTCATGCATCGGTGGCAAAGCGATAGAATGCTCGCCAACCACGCCTCAAGTGGTTCGGGGTTCGATCCCCGGCCACAGACGCACTCTTTTACCTCACTAAGCCAGTAACAAGCTCGATAAAGAGGGAAGGTTGGACATGAGGCTAGCAACCCCATCCCATAAAAGTAAATAAACACCACTGCTACCGAAAATTCAAGTCTGTAGCTTGAAGCCTTATGTTCCACTGGGAACGTAAAGGAACCAAACAAAAATCAGTGGAAGGTCGCGACCATTGGGGTCCACCATATCAAGGCAAAATAGATGAACATCGAATGCATCTAGTGAGGACAGCAAATATCACGAGTTGACAAAGTTAGAATTTAAGGGTCCTGGAATTCCAGCCCAAGTATCCGAATGTTCAACCACCTTGGTCCCAGGTTCAGTCTCTGACGGGGTCATGGATGCACACCGGTGAAGAATCCCAAAACAGGACGAAACAACTGTCCACTACTCCACGATTTTCAGTGATTTCTCTAAATGCTCTTAGTTGGGGACGAAAATCTAATAACTGATAAAGATGCTGTGTCACTAGTTTGTGTGTTTATCTGAGTGATATCAAATAAACTTCTGCAATATGAAATAAAAATTAAGTAACAGACAGAAATGTTGTACGCCGATGGTTCAGTGGTAGCTTTATCGAAAACCGTGCACGTGGTGTTCGATGTTCGATTCCCGGAGGATCCACTACTTTATCCTTATTAATTAGTAAAGAGGGTATGTTGGGTGTGATGGTAGAAACCCCATCACCTCGTAAAAGACAAAATTATCGCTATTGAAACTTCAAATCTTGACAACGTTTGAAGCCCTACCTGTCTGTCTGTCTGTCTCTCAGTTTTTAACATAGAACTTTGCACAGATGTGCAGCAGTTCAAGTCGTCACACTCCCTCTTTGTAGCACACAAAGCCAGAGAAGAAAGTTGAAGAAATGCAGAATAGAGACAGTAGACAGGGATATGAGACAAAAGGAATAGTAATAACAAAGAACCATACAGTTTCATTGGGTATTATAAGTCATAAGGAGTGGATGCATCTGCGCCACTGAGAACGATTTTGAGCCATGTCATCAATTGTTTCCAACCATTGGTTTTTACCGTCCCGAGGACCCCAACCAAGAAGCCAGTCTACACCTTCCTACGTGGCTTAGACTAACTGTTGTGGATTTCATTGACTGGTGCCCTGTTTTCGTTTGACCGCCACTAGCTCTTTTCTAGCCTGACCCTATATCAGCTAACATTGCCCGTTGTCGAGGAAGGCGATGACTAGGCATACGTAGCACATGTCCTAACCATCTCAGTCGATGTAATTTCACAGTCTCGTCGACTGATTTCCCCTCCTTACCTAGCAATCGACGACTGACCTCATTATTGCTCACCCTGTCATACCATTTTACACGGGAGATAGAACGCAGACACCTATGATCGAAGACAGCTAATTTTTTGATGTCGTCTACTCTCAATGACCAGGTGTTGCTAACTGCCATAAAAGAGGATGGAGCGGACTGCTGAGCAGTACACACGCCCTTTGGTCGATAGCCAGCCGGATGTCACGTCTACTGAGCAACAGACAGAGTAAATTGGCATGTCCGAAACTAGCCCTCTGTATCCATGTTGAGATTTCGCCAGCGATCAACCCGTTGGCACTGGCTGATGCAAATTCCCAAATAAGTTAAGTAGCCAACACACTCAGATAACACTTCACTCCCTATTTCTAAGCTAGGAGTCAGTGTAGTCCAGTCCAGTCCTGTAACATCATCTTACATTTGACAGCTCGAGCGAATCGCATGCCAAACATTGGCAGATTGCAAATGAAGTTGTTCAGAAGACTTTGATCTATTTTGTCAGAGTCTACACCTCATCTGCATATTCTAAGTCAACAAGATTATTCCCTAACGGTAACAAGTCAATCCCTGAGTCGCTGAAGTCAGCCAGTTAGGGTTATGTCCATTAGTACATCTATGATGAAATTGAATAGAAATGGGGATAATGTGCATCCCCTCTGACGGACACCACTAGTTGAAGCCCTATATTTCAACTCGGGACTTAGGGGATTGAGACAGAGAGAGAGAGCGCGCGCGTGAAAACAAAACAGACAGAAACTAGCGTGCAAATATACCTGAAATTGAAAATAAGAACAACCAAAAAAGAAAGAAAAAAAATTAACACTTACATAAGTTTCCACAATCATTGAATGACTCAACACATGGTGCTGTTGTCTCAGTTGATGATCCCGAATCTGATGTAGCATTCAGTCGGTGAAGCTCCAACAGGAAACACAACTCATCTAGCTCCTACAAAAAAAAAAATGAAAGAGCAATAAAATGCAAAATGTTGAAATATCAATTCTGTGATTTTTTTTTCAAAAAAAATTATTAAATAAACAATATTCCCTTGTTGCTAGAGCCTAACACCATCACTCCACACTAGTAGTAAGAGTAAGAAATCTCATACTACCAAGAGGATGTGTAATTTTGTATCTTTTAATGAGGTTCATCAATTCGTTCCAGAAATTTCTATGCAGAGGTGGATCCTGTTGTGGTGAAAGATGGTCGCTAGCCAAATTGGTTGACAGTAATTGAGGTCAAAGGTCAAGGTTGTCAGGCGGATACAGTTAACATATTGATGAACTGACACGGCCACAAGAGATGCAAGGTCAACCTTGTGTGAGAAACAACCAATCAACAGACTGTATTTTCTACTAACAGTGACCTACAATAATGTACATAAAAATCTATAAATACGTGTTGATTTTTCGTAATAAACGTTCTGTTGCCTGGCCCTTGTCTTCTGTTGTTACATTTGGTGTCGCTGCCTACCGACAAATGGAAAGCCAATGCCCTGCAGTTTTTGATGGAGACATATGGATCTTCGGGCAGGACTTCGAGGCTTCTTCGCAGTTGAGTGGCGTTCAAGATCTGTCAGTGATGAGGCTGCTACTTGGGACGCTGCTGGGAGGTCGGGAGAATGCAGCATATGGAAGTGTGAGGCGAAATACCTACGAATGTGTGACAGGGTCAGGCAAACAGTTTCCAAAGTGGGAAGGACCATATATGGTCACGTTGAGATGGGGTTACGCAGACACAATCGCAATGGTAAACACAGAGAAACAAGTGAACATCCGCAAGCGCCAAGATTTCAGACAGCAAGACAAAAGAGAAAAGCCCCAAGAGCCGAGAAGCCCGAAGCAACTTCAGTCGCAAGTCTTTGACGGGGGGACGAGTGTGGTGAAAGATAGTCGCTAGCCAAATTGGTTGACAGTAATTGAGGTCAAAGGTCAAGGTTGTCAGGCGGATACAGTTAACATATTGATGAACTGACACAGCCACAAGAGATGCAAGGTCAACCTTGTGTGAGAAACAACCAATCAACAGACTGTATTTTCTACTAACATTGACCTACAATAATGTACATAAAAATCTATAAATACGTGTTGATTTTTCGTAATAAACGTTCTGTTGCCTGGCCCTTGTCTTCTGTTGTTACACTGTCACCTAGTGGATAAGGACACTTTGGTGTTTAAGCGTGATGAGTGCCGGGTTCAAGTCTAAGCAGTGGGGATATTATCATTCAATGGGGACAAAGGAAAGACAGTTGATGAGTCCAAATTAGGACGAAGTGTGCCTCGTGTATGGTACTACTGCTAAACTCTACCAAAACATACATCTTTGTCACTATTGACATCGCTAAAGACATTGACTTCCTTGTGGGGGCATTGTTAGCTGATATAGGATCGATCAGGTTAGAAAAGAGCTAGTTAGTGGTGGTCAAACCAAAACCAACCTGGCTTCATCAGTCAATCAAATTCATAACAGTTCGTTAGTTTAAACCAATCAGCCAGTCACGTAGGCAGGTGTAGACTATTTGGATGGTTGGCGTGCTCGAGATGGTAAGAGACAATGGCGGCTAGAGACAATTGGTGATATGGCTAGCTTAAAATCATCGTTCTCAGTGATGGCTGGTGTAGATGCATTCACTCACTGGTGATTTGTTATACCCAGTAAAACTCTATTGTTCTTCCATAATACTATTATCTCTCTTTACTCTCTTCTCTTGCTCTTTGTGTGCTACATGGAGAGAGTGTGACAACTTGAACTGCTGAACATTTGTGCAAAGTTCTATATGTTGAAACCAGTCAGCCAATCAGTCAGTCATTGTGAATACTCAACATTTTATACGCCAGAGTAATTTCGTGCTCATCCCTTAGCAAAGCTTTTCTAGATAACAAATTACGTAATATAAAAGCGTTAATCGAAAAAAGACTCAAACAAGACTAAATAAATAAGTTGTATAATGCATTTGCGTCACTGGTCCATTGGCGGTAGAATGCTCTCCAACCACGTACCGTCGTCTGGGTTCACTTCTCAATTGACGAACTTCTCAACCTATATTAAGTCCGGCAAAGTAAGAAGATTGGTCATGAGCAAGAGACTATGAACTTCATCCCATAAAATGGAATCAACACCACAGTTGCTGAAACATAAATGTTCGAGGCTTGGAGGTTTATGTCCCACTTGGGACACAAAGGAATGACAATAAATTACGTAATATAAAAAGCGTTAATCGAGTAGAAACTGAAATAAGTGACGTAATATATAAGTGAACGCGATTGAGTAGAATTCAGTTAAAATTGAACTAGAGTCAATTTAACAACAGTGTTGATAAGGGGTAGAAATTTAACAGGGGGTGAGGGAAGAAAATAATACAATTTAAGAATAAAAATTACTTGGCCGGTGTTGAAATAGATCAGGTCTCCTATACATCTATCTAGTGACTGAACAACATTCTTCTGTATGCAGAGTTCGGGATGCTTAACATGTGATTTGGCATTGCTTCTGAGGTTTGATCCGTACGCTTTCAGTAAGATTCCAGTGTATTCTGTAGATAGATGAGTTTGACATTGGTTTGTGGGTTATCTTGGTGTGTCAAGATTCGACCGAGTGTTCCAGAGTATAGAAGAAGTTTGTTCAGTCACTAATTCAAGAGTGGACCTGTTTTGTCTTAACACCGAATGTGTAACTTTCTTTTTATTCTAATTGTATTATCTTCTTCCCTTACCCCTTGATAAATTTCTACCCCTTATCAACACTGTTGTTAACTTGACTCTAGTTCAATTTTAACTGAATTCTACTCAATCGCGTTCACTTATATATTACGTCACTTATTTCAGTTTTCAACAAATTAACGCTTTTTATATTACTTAATTCATCGTCATTCCTTTGTGTTCCCAGTAGAACATAAACCTTCAAGCCTCGAACATTTGAGTTTCAACAGCTATAATGTTGATTTCATTTTATGGGATGAAGTTCATAGTTTTACTCATGACCAATCTTCCTACTTTGCCGGACTTAATATAGGTTGAGGAGTGCATCATTTGAGAAGTGAACCCAGACGACCCACATGGTTGGAAAGCGTTCTGCCACCATTGGACCAGTGACTCATATTTACATCATTTTTGTGAGGATGGGATAAGTAATCATCTGTTATTGAAACTGGATATAACAAAGCTCATTGAGATGAAGGTGAATTCAAGCCCAACTAGTCACAACCTTGAAGGAATTAATAGCCTGTAGGAGATTTCAAGCCATATCAATCACTGCTGTAGTCACAGATGTTACCATTAAGCTACTCCGTCTCAACAGTGACCTCCTACAGCACTTTAGTTGCACGACAGATGCAAAATATTCAACTGTCTGTGAAGACTACTTAGATCCCAACGGGATTGTAGTGATAGAAGTACTATATATGCCTCTTCGATTGTCTTTCTACCCTCACCAACGAAGAAATCAACAGAATTTTTACTTTAATACTTCTATTAAAGGTGTATTTGTATGATGCATTGCTCTAACTTCCAAACACTGGATTATGCATTCGAATCCCACTTCACCTACTAAGTTTCGGTAGGATACTTTCATTACGCCTCAAATAATAGGTGCCATCAAAGATAGGACTTCAGGTGAACATACAGAAAACAGAGGTGATGAAGACTCCTGGCCAACAGCGACAACAACAGACAACGATCAACATAAATGGGAGGAACCTGAAAGAAACAACCTCTTTTACCTACCTGGGAAGCATCGTTTCAACTACAGGCCGATGAAACTGACGAGGATATCAAAGCAAGAATCGGAAAAGCAAGACAAGCTTTCATTACTCTCAAGTCTGTGTGGGGGTCAACAGCAATCAGCATCAAAAATAAGGTCCGGATTTTTAACTCTAATGTGAAGTTAGTGCTACTATACGGATCAGAGACTTGGCCAGCGCGTCATAAAGAGCAACTCAAACAAACTATACACCTTCATTAACAGTTGTCTTCGTTCAATACTCAAGATCAGATGGCCGACCAGAAAAGATCAGCAACAGGGATCTCTGGGAGTGAACTAACCAGGAACTGATTGTGAAACAAATAGGCAGGAAGAAATGGAGATGGATTGGCCACACTCTGAGGAAACCATCAAGTGAGTGACATCACTAGACAAGCCATTGCTCGAGTGGAACCCGAAAGGGAAGCGGCGAGTTGGTGTTCAGTGCAAGGGTGACTTGGAGGAGGTCATGTGAAGAGGAGATGAAAACGTGTGGGCAGATTTGGAGCCAGGTGAAAACTTTAGCAGAGAACCGAACGCAATGGAGACGCACGGCTGAAGCCCTATGCTCCTCTAGGAATTAAAGGAAACAATAATAATAATAGGTGCCAGTAAGAGAATCATTAAAAACCAAGGAGAATTGGACAGCTGTTTCGTCCTTCTGCTTGGAACTCTACAGTAGTACGCACCTTCGAGTTTCCAGTCCTAATGCGACATCGTGACCAGTAAGGTTCATCCGATCACCCGTGTGAGGACAAATACTTGCCGATGGTACTGGTTAAGTTCAACCCCCGGTGGTGTCATGGGTGCATACTACTGAAGAGTCCCAATATAGAACAAACATCTTTCCAGTGTTCTGTAATATCAATCCATGATCCGACTGGATCCAATCAAATTCCTAAAAACTATTATTTCAAAAAGAATTTATGAACAGAAAGAAACGGAATCGAATTGTTTTTGCAGCATCAGAATCGCAGAGATAGATGTAGCTCAATGGCTCAAGCAGTTGACTTTCAACCAAGTAGACCTTGGATTCCATTCCCTCCACCTCCCACCCCGCCACCTTAACTACTTCAGTCTGCATAGCTGGATAGCATCATCGTCATCATCAACTGTCGCATAATATGCGTCCCTCATAGCGCCTCCCCCCACATGCAGGAGAAATCGATCCCAGATAGTACAGCCCCAATATACTTATCGAATAACAGTGA